TGAACGAAACAGGAATTAAAGCCCAGGTAAAGTTTATTTCCTAACATTATTAAACGCGTTAAAGTGTTGCCATCATAAATCTGGGACTCATTTGATATTTAAATTTCATTCATTGATCTACAGTAGATTATATTGACATCAGTTGAACTGATATCCAGTCAAATAGAATTCAGATGTAATTATATTCAGTCTCCTGTAGTCTGATCCCACAGGGTGACATTTAAAAACAAAAAGAAATCTTTTAATTTATCTTTCCATTAAACATGGATGTTCTAGGAAGCTCCTCCTTGGAACTGGCCGATGTTGGTCATTTCTAAACATATCTGTATCGATCCGATCAGTTAACCAACCAATGTTTATTACATCCAGCCTGAGGTGGGTAGTAAAAAAAAATCTACTAGGAGGAGAGTTACAGAGTTGGATCCCAGCTTCAGCTACTCCAGCTAGAAAATTATGGCTGAAATCTTGGTGTAATGATGGACTCAGATCTGAACCATCGGAGGCTCATTAAGGCAGTAACTAAATAAGCCTTTTATCACCTGAAGAACATTAAAGGACTAATGTCCATCAGGATCTAGAAAAACTCATGCATGCATTTATCTCTAGTAGAAGATAAAGCTTTGTTAGGTTTGTGTGTGTTTAACTGAAACAGAGAACAAATATCAATAGTCTGTTTGGTTTTCATGGTGTCCGAAGGGTAAGGAAATATTTAAAATATGATCTTGGTAAATATTGTTTCATTTTCATTTCAGTGCATCTTTAGCTGTTTATAAGAATTGGAAACACAAACAGAAATTTACGAATAATTTATTTTATGGAGCAGGGGTTCTTGATTCTCATAAAAATATGCAAAATGCTTTCGTTTACTTTATAATCATATTAAAACTTAGGAGAACCCATTAAAAATTCCAGTTATTAATCTAACAGTGTTTACATTATCAATTTGATCTATTTTTTTAAAAATAATTTTTATCAGCCAGTCTTTGGTTTCGTAGATTAGTAACCCCGCCTCCTGCTCTCCTCTATCTTGTCTGCTGTCATGATTCATGCAGCTATTATTTTGTCCAAATGAAAAATGGAGAACACATATGCAGATCATGGCTTCTCTACAGTGAAAGGAAGGAGTGTGTTATTTACTTTTGCCATCGCCTTTTTGGAAATGCAGGAAGCAGCAATCAGCTAAGCAGAGGCGTGCACAGACATTTTGGGGGGCAGGTGCTCAGGAGGGGGGGAGCACTTTTTAGCGCACGTGGAACACTTAATTATAAAAAAAAAATACAGACGCATGTTGAATGAAATTTGACTTTTATTTGTAACATTCTCTAAACGTGAGTTTTCAATGGAAAAAAGTCACACCACCAAAAGAACACACTAAAGCGTACTACTTGCTCATCTTTCTTCTTCTTTCATCTGGCTCATCTCCCTGTTTTCCCTCACCCATCTGCTCTCCCTCATCCTGCTGTTCTCCCTCATCCTGGTCTTTTTCTGTCTCTGTGTCTTCCCTGAACTCTTCCTCATCTCCTGTCCTGGTAGATGTTGATGGTATAGAGCTTCCCTGCTGTGACTGGCTACAATATAATAATAATAACCATCATGACAATAATAATGACAATAATAATAATAATAATAATAATAGCAATGACTTATGGTAGCCTACAAAATAATAGCTATTTTTAATACCTGCTGATTTTGTATAAACCACTTAAAAATAAAACGTGAACAGCTTTTAAGATTTTTCAATACAATTAACCCTTCTTTCTTGGCATTGTGCTGCAATTACTAAATCAATATACAATTAAGACAATAAAGAGACCAAAATGTGTTAATTTATGTTGCCTAACAAAACCTATACAACAGAAAACGTTTGTCTTAACACATAGATTTGCAATTGAAAACTCTACCGAAATTATTTGTAGCCTATGTGGTCGTCCTCACATTATCTGTCATTGACTTGGGCTACAGTGTAAAACTTTATCTAGCCTAACTAGCTTATCAGGTGACCAGTTGGCAAAAATGCTTGTTTGGTGCTGCTGATTGAGACATTTTAATGCACAACAAAATGATTTAGCTTGATCTGTATATTACCTGGCTAATGGGGCACGGGAGAAGCAGCCTGTCAGCGACCGTTCCTGCAATCTGAAAACGCTACTGAACTGCTATGATGCTGCGCATCTGCGGGCGACCGCGCGAGTTCACGTGACAAAGGAAGAGAGATAGGCTGGTCGGGTGTGCGTAAGGAGGTGGCTCATATTGGGGCATTGTTTTAGTCGTTTTTAATGGCTCAGGTTTTCAAAAGATCATTTCAAAACCGACCTCAGTAAAATCTTAATAATATTAATAATAATAATAAAAAAAAAACGAGTTTCAAAAGGACATTTTCGTTGATAAAGGGCAAACTTCCTAGTGCTTTAGCACCACCTAGTGTCTATGTGTGCACGCCCATGCAGCTAAGTGAGCTTAGTGCTTGGAAAAAAATCTTTCATTCCTTTTGAGACAGCATGAAAAGTTACTGAGTACATTGCCAATATGAAAAAAGGGACAAAAGAAAACATACAGAGGAAAAACAGCAAGAAAAGGGATTAGAGGAGAGGGACAAAAGGTAAAACAAATAATCTATGTCCATTCTATAAAATATTCTGTATCTGTATAATGGGTCTGTTTTATGTGTTGACATTCCATTTCAAAGGGCCCCATGCCTGTCTTTGCCTAGGGCCCCAAATGTCCTAAATCCGCCCCTTGGTGGTACTCCTAGTTGAAAACAATTTGTGGGTGACTCCATCCACCTCTGCATCCAGCTGCTGTTTGTTCCAGGAGGAGGAGAGGAGGGTACCTGTTGGTCGTGTAGTGATGCAGCTCAGGATTGTGGGGGTTTGACTGGAGCAGAGAAGCAGCATCATAGCTCTGGTTGGTTTTCACCGTCTGGTTCTTTATGTTAAGCAGCTGTAAATATTGGTTATTACTGACTTATTACTATCAGATAGCAATGAGTAATAGTAGCACAAATTCCCTATTGGGGATTATTCTTGAACCATCATACAACAGACCAGATGCAACAAAGATTAACGTTAAAGCGGACTGCAGGACTAACAGCATAGCAGGAACTGCTGGGGAGGATTTCTTTGTTTTCCTCAGCTGGGAAAGGCAAACAACTGTACTCCGCACTTTTCAGATTATATTTAAAAACAATGCCTCTCTTTCCTCCATCCTGTAAAACTAACAAAGATCTTTCCTCTGTGTTTGTACTTTAAATGTATTTACCCGATGAGGCGTTTCAGCTGCCAGAATTGAACAGGAGATCCCTGAACTGTCAGCCTGCAAGTTTTACCTTTGATTTTTTTTAGTTCTCTAACTGCCTCCCGACCTTTGACTGCTCACTTGTGTAATCATTTCACCGAGGCAAAATATGTGAATCCAATAAGTCCTGCAGGCTGCTGACCCACATTTGGGCTTCATCTGAGGGAAAAGGCAACCAGGAAGTTGTTAAACCGCAGAGGAAGTGAGCAGGGAAAACATTACAGGTGTTTAGCTTCTTGTTTTGCTGATGGACAAAATTTCCTTTGCTTCAGACTGAATAAAAGAAAGAAATCATATAAATAAATTAGAAATAGGGGATTAGTGTCCCTTTGGGGGAGGAAACATTTCACCTCCAGGTTACTGTGATGCAGGGGTGGAGCTAGATGGGGGGCCATGGCCACCCTTAGCCAATCATTGGCCACCCCTACCATTTCCCCCCTCTAATACAGATAGTGGCAGCCGTAATACTCTCAAGTGGAATATTCAAAAAGGTTTTAATTTTTTGTGATTAATTATACCATCACTATACTAACATCAAAGATGATAACTACATAATTCATGCTCTTTCAGAACTAGATTTTGTGTTATATGGGGTAAAGAGAAAATGTGTCTCTGCAAGTCACCTAGGAGTCTTCAGTGAAATCATAGATAAATAACTTATCAAATAATCAATTTATGTAGATGTTAGTACTTGCAAATACAAATTTTATGCAGAATGTTTATTGATAATGGAAAAGATTTATGCCCCGGAACTCAAAACTGAAAGAATCTTATCCACTGTAACTTTTATTTAGAAAGCACAGATGTTTAACCCTTTATAGGGCAAGTTACTATTTTTGATCACTTGCCTTACAAATGGAGTGCCATTTCTTTTACTGTGTTTTTCATGAATTTCTTATAGAAGCACTTTTGTTATTACATTGACATTCATTTATGCCATCAAAATATACATATTTTTTGAGCATTACAAAGGTAATAGGGTCTTGTCCTGGATTCCAATAACTCACTACAAAAATTATCAAGAAATTTGTGAAAATATCTTTAAATAAGTGTATTTACCCTTAATTTGAGTAGGTAAATAAAAGAAAAATCTCCCAGTTGAAGGAGCATTTTTATCCTTAAAATCAGATTATTTGATATTATGCACTTCAAATAGGAGACTGCATTTTTTTCTTTATTTTAAATGTAAATTTTCTTATTCCATTTGCAAAGTATGTTACTTAGCTGCTCAGTTCAAGAAAAAAATGCACTTATTTTAAGAAAAACTGACTGTTTTTTTTTTTTTTTTGCAATGTACTCTTTTCTTGAAATTTATATGTTTAAAGTCTTTCACTGAATGCCATATAAAGGGTTAAATATATATATATATATATTTGTTAGTAAAGGCTGTAGGAAACTATAGTTAGTCTTTATTTACAAAATATGAATGTTTTGCCCGTTAATTTCCCTGTTGGAACAGTGTAGATTGACCCCAAGGTGTCTGTCCATTTTTGGCCACCCCTCAGTGGACACTGGTTATTGTCTGGGCACCCTAATTTTTCTGGCTACGCCTCTGCTGTGATGCAGCAGTAATCTAATCAGATAGAACTAATGTTTCATTGATGTTTAAATGAATCCTGCTCTCTGTGGAGCTCCTCTTTATGCTGTACCGTTTAGGTTCGGATGTAGAAGATGAGGATGTGTCCTCCTGGTTCCTGCAGCTCCCTGCCCTCCTCTCCTCTCCTCCTTCCAGCAGAGTATTGAGCTCCCAGCTGACCTACTTTCTGCTCTCAGTCATCCCGCTGCTGTTTACAGCCGTTGCAGAGCCGGGATGAGGAGCTCTGTACCGGGGGAAGCGGCGGAGGAACCCCGCTGCTAGTCTGCGGAGCACCGGGAGAGGAGCGGCGGGAACGTTAGCCAGACTTTCTGGGAACATTTGGGAAGAAGGAGGGAAACTAAAGCTCGTTATGCAATCGGAGGCGTTCGGCTCGCTGAGCTCGGCTCAATGTTTTAGTTCAGAGGAGGAAAAAATGACGGACGGCGGTTAAAGTGTTTCTGCCGCACTTCTTCAGGTAGGAAGGCTTCACTTTCAGCCGCGGCTTTCCAATGTTCACCTTTTCACAAGCGGCTTCCTCCGCTTTCAGAGGTGCGAGCGGAACTTCAGGCTGAGAGCCGTTTAAATGTTACCGAGTCTCCTTTTTCCTGACATTTTCAGCGCTCCTGAACGCCTCTCGGGTTGTTGTCAGCGCTCCAGGTGTCCTGGTTTCAAGGTTGATATAACCATTTTTTCAGGTCGTAACCCGCCTGACATCCACAGCAGAAACTAATGGAGCTCAAGGAAAAATGCGAGAAAACTGATGCGTGAATAAATAGTCAGGAGGCCTCGGTGTGATGTTAGCTAACCTGGCAGCTGAAGAGCTCACTTTATTTCTCATGTTTTTCATTCAGCTTTACCACAGACATTTTATTTGCTGGGTTGTTTTTCTGCTTTATTAGCCTTGATCGGAACTTTTTAACACGTTACAGGATCATAAACGGTATGGGGTGAATTTTGTTCCATTATTCTTTAAAATGTTTTAATCAAAAATGGCTTAATGGTGATAAAACCAATTTTGTTGTTTTCTCAGATTTACTTTTTTCCACATAATTAAATTTTTTAAAGGTTTTATAGTTTCATTTCCACAAACTGGCCTCTTTTTTTATTGTTTAATAGATCATCTCTTTGCTTCTGGAGGCTATTGTAACTGTAATGAGGAGTGAAAATGCATTTCTATTGGTAGTAATATCTGTCAATGTGAACATCAACAGTGAGTTTCTCGATTGGGTTTGAAGTGGATCAGATTTGTCAAAAAGAACACGTTTCATAAGCTCAGAGAGTCTGCAGCTCAGAGAGTGCAGTTCGGAGAGTCTGCAGCTCATAGAGTCTGCAGTTCGGAGAGTCTGCGGCTCTGAGAGTCTGCGTTTCGGAGAGTCTGCAGTTCGTAGAGTCTGCAGCTCGGAGAGTCTGCAGCTCGGAGAGTCTGCAGCTCGGAGAGTCTGCAGTTCGGAGAGTCTGCGTTTCGGAGAGTCTGCAGTTCGTAGAGTCTGCAGCTCGGAGAGTCTGCAGCTCGGAGAGTCTGCGGCTCGGAGGGTCTGCGGCTCGGAGGGTCTGCGGCTCGGAGAGTCTGCGTTTCGGAGAGTCTGCAGTTCGGAGAGTCTGCAGTTCGGAGAGTCTGCAGCTCAGAGGTTCTGCAGCTCGGAGAATCTGCAGCTCAGAGGTTCTGCAGCTCAGAGGGTCTGCAGCTCAGAGGTTCTGCAGCTCAGAGGTTCTGCAGCTCAGAGGGTCTGCAGCTCAGAGGTTCTGCAGCTCAGAGGTTCTGCAGCTCAGAGGGTCTGCAGCTCAGAGAGTCTGCAGCTCAGAGAGTCTGCAGCTCAGAGGTTCTGCAGCTCAGAGGTTCTGCAGTTAGGAGAGTCTGCAGTTAGGAGAGTCTGCAGTTAGGAGAGTCTGCAGTTAGGAGAGTCTGCAGTTCGGAGAGTCTGCAGCTCAGACGGTCTGCAGCTCAGAGAGTCTCGGAGGGTCTGCAGCTCGGAGTCTGCAGCTCAGAGAGTCTGCAGCTCAGAGAGTCTGCAGCTCAGAGAGTCTGCAGATCAGAGAGTCTGCAGCTCAGAGAGTCTGCAGCTAAGAGAGTCTGCAGCTCAGAGAGTCTGCAGCTAAGAGTGTCTGCAGCTAAGAGTGTCTGCAGCTCTAAGCTGTTGACTGATTTCTCCTACCTGAGCCGTACATCTATGTAGCTCCCCCAGAGTTCCCACAGGCTGCTCTGCTTGCTTCTGCTGGATCATCTGCTAACCCGCTGCTCTAGATTTTACTATGATATCAGAGTGGCTAGATGCAGTATTCCAAGTATTTTTGTTGTTACTGTTTAAATTAAACAATCTACTTTACTTCTGTTAAATTGCTATTTCTTTATCTGTTTGGAGTAAAATCCCAATGAAACGTAATAATTTGTAATGCTGCTGCTGTCAGGATATTTTATATAAAACAAATTTTCTTTTCCCAACATTTCCAGCAGTGCTTGTTCAGACCTATTCAGTGTTTCTTTCTGAAATGCTTGGGGGAGAGGGAGGAGTGGAGATCCTCTCTACCGTTCCAATATAAGCTCTATACCGTTTATTTCCAAATCTAGTCTTAAAATGGCAGAACAGTAACAACTTAGACAACTTTTATTGTCATTTTCTTTACACAGAGTTTATAGAAAATGACTAAATGTATACACCTCCTCCTTGGACATCTTATGCAAAACATTACCTATAGTCACTCATGTGCAATATTCTTCTTTCTCACTATGCAATAACACATGCCAACTACTGTGTAGCCTGTGTATCTTTTTAAACTTGCTTATAAGGTCAGTACATCTCTGCAGCACAAGTGCAATAATCCAAGTCAACTAATTTTTTAAATGTTTAACTCTTTGTACTCTATCCAAACTACTGGAACCAGAATGTCCCTAAAGGCCTAATCCCAAGGGATAAATAAAGTTGAGTCCAAGTCTAAAAAACAACATTTTGTTTTACAGCTCTCATGACATTTCCATTTCTCTAAGAGCAGCACTGATCAAAAGTAAACTGTGATAGAAAAAAAAAAAAAAAAAAAGCAATGTCATATAGATCTCTATTTAAACCAAAATGGAACCATTATTAACAAACACGACATTAACAATGTAGGGAGCGGCATTACGTGGCTGCTGAACGCACTAATGAATCAGAGACGCATGCAGATACTGGAAAAAAGTCGCCCAAAAACAGCCGCTCTTATGCTCCACCTGTGCTGGAGGGGTTTTTATCTCCAACACTAGAATATATTTGGCATAAAAAAAAAGAATCAACTTGCTGTTACTGTTTGTAGCTTCATACACATAATATTGATTATTACGGAGCAAATGGTTTTTCCTTTGTTGTTGAAAGCAAAGAAAAGAAAGGAAATTAAAATGAAATATCTGGAAATAAAGCTTTGAAAAACTATTTCTATAAAAAGCACCTTTGCTTTTTTCTCTGATTTTCTTTTAGTTTATTTTTCAAATGTTTTTTTTTTCTGTTCTAGTTTTATAAAATGTATAAGTTTTATTTTATTTGTTCTGACAGCCAATAGAAACGCTCCTTCTGACCAATACAATGTTTTTGCTAATGTCCCGCAGACCAATAGAAATGCATCTCCCTGTAAAAATGTATCTGAAATATACTAATTTGAAAAATACATTTTTAAAAAAGGGAAAAAAGTATGAAAAATGTATTCGTAAAAAAGTTTAAATAAAAAAATCTGAGAAACCAGCTTCTGTCTTCTCTTAAACACTTTTTTGTTGAATAAAAGTTTTCAAAGTTTTATTTCTAGATTGCTTTTTTTTGGTTTCTTTTAACATGATACAATAATGGCTCCAACTTCACCCCGTAGATCATGATCTTTCTCTTTGATCACTGACAGACATTCACAGTGTCGCTGAACTGTTTCCATATATTGCTGGTAGTCGGAGTTTCCACTCTGCAGCTGATCTGATGTGTTTAATACAGTAGCTCCTTTTTCACCCATGCTTGAACTTATTGGTTCTTTTTATTGCTTTATTATAAATAAAGATATTAGCTGGGAGCTTAATTTATGGCCCTCCACTCTGCTACTGTGATGCTTTCAGGAAAGCGTTTATTTTTTTCCGCTTATCTCCGGATTGATAATTTGGACAGTTACAGGACAGCTGTTGGAGTCTGGTAATAATTACTGTTATAAGATGATGAATCAATGAGTCTTACATTCCACTATTAACTATTTTCTCTGTCCAATAAAACAAACCGATGTGTTTGTTAATCCCTAGGAGGCGAAGCTTCAACAAGAACTAATTTAAAGGGATGCAACAAAGTCTTTGTTTTAGTTTGTGAGCCGTGGGTCAGATTATCTCCCCCGTCCTCTGCTAATCTGACACAAAAGAACAAAGTTGTTTTTTTTGTTTGTCTCCCAGATAAAGTGCCAGCTCTGAATTACTGCATAAACACCATCTGTGCTGAAGCTTTTCCAGCCGGCATGAGGTTAGAAAACCTGACATTTCTCCCCCCATGCTGCCATGTTTTCAGGCCTTCTTCATCGTGCCTTGAGCCCAGAGTGAAGATGTTGCAGATAAAATCTCTCAAAACCCTGAAAGCTGAGGTGGACCTGCAGGCCCAAATCTCAACGTCACGCAGTTGTTTTGTCTTTGCAGCTCCAGGAAATATCAGCTCCCTCATCTCTCATCTGGATGAATTAGGCTGCATACAGAGTTTACAAACCATCTCCACCAAATCCATTACAACCTGTTAGTGTTTGAGTGCAGATCCATCATGTTTCGCATTAAAACACCGCAGCCGTTCAGCAGTCGGCTCCTACAAGATGGCAGACAACCGAACGACTCTGGATTCCTGCCCGTTTCAACCTCTGGTATATCGGATCCATCAGGGTCCCTCCTCCTCCCATCCCTTACCCAAACAGAAAGCGTTTAGTTCTTTTGGTCATTAATTAATTCCAGGAAATGTTAAACAGTTTTTGTTTGACTGTTTCCACTGATTCTGGTTCTGATCCCAGTTCAGGTCAGTCCTCTGGTAGAAAACATGACGGATTATGAAAACATATCAAACCCAAATCTCCTGGTGGTTAGTAGAGTTTATCAGAGTCATGTGATCAACACAAGACTTCATTATATCCCAGAAACTACAGAGGCTGTCCTGTCAGGCATGAATTATTAGAGTTTTATTTAAAAACTTGAGAAAGTCGGTTATGAAACAAGCAGAACTTTAAACGTAAGAAAAAAGGCAAACAACAGCAGTCTGTTTTATCCGTCTGCAGTACTTCATGAATAATCTGACCTTTTGGAGCGAACAGGCAGATAGAAATAAAAAAAATAAAAAGTAGGTATTAAATAATCGAGAATTAATGCAAAGATGTTTAGTTGGCAAAAAGCGTTTCACTGACTTTATTTAGAAAACACTGTCAGTACCTCATTTTTTTACATAATTGCAGGTTATACACTTTTAAGTTTAAATTACTTAACTACCTGAATAATAAGTAGATAAAACTCGT